CCTCCGAGGAAGGAGGAAGGGCCGAAAGCACGACAAAGAAGAGCCCCGACGTGGCTAAAGCGTCCGTTGAGGCCACGGATCACGTTGAGGGCGAGGGTGCGATCGGTGATGACCTCTCGCCAAGGGTCGTGGAGATCGTCGACCATCTTCTTCAAAGGCGGCGAGAGTCGGTGATGGAGAGATCGCCTTGGATGAAGTGCGAAACCGTCTCAAGGTGGATGGCCACTTATCGATTGCTCGATTGGAACCGAGACTCGACGGTGAGCCAAGCGTGCCGAAAGCAAAGTGGAGCCCTAGGCGGAGATGACTTGGCGAGGTCGTCGGTGAGCGTGCCGACGATCCAGACTTGACGACTTGATCCATCCGAGCCCGGTCGGGGAGACAGGGACCGGAGGATCGATGGACGTGATCCGGAGGGAGAACTTGCCGAGGGTCAACAAGAATTGATCGCGCCATCGATTGAAATTATCGAGTCGACATCGAGGATGATGGTGATGTGATGCTAGATATTGTTGTGGCGGCCGCTCACTGGGCGTGCAGTTTAGGAGGCCAACGCCTCATGAAGCGCAAAGGCGGAGTGGAGGTCGGTGGCATGCCTGGAAGCGGCACCAGAGGACTCTACCGGTAGGCGGTGCGGTGGCGACCAAGGCTCCTTGGCGGGCGATGCTAGAAGCCTTGCTATGCCACTGGCCCGCAGTCACGGTCCTTGGTGGCGGCGTCGCGGTCGTGGCTCATGGCGGTGGCGGCTGACTCACTTGCCATTTCCTTGGCGGCGATTCAACTCCTCGATCCGGGCGGCAAGTGAGGGTGGCGGCGGTAGAGGTCGCGTCATCCCGCACTTGGGGTAAAGCGGAGAGGTCCCAGGCATGGTATTTGCACAAGACAACGAAGACTGCACGCTGGAGGGAGCAGTGCTGTGCAAGCCTGGAGCGTAGGCAGTGCAGTGGGTGGGTGTGGTGGTCCGGCTTCGTCTTGTGAAGTCCGGTCTGGCGGCAGAAAGCGACTGACAGCGATGGAGCCGTGAGCGGCCAGGTGCGAGTGTGCAACATGGCGAGGCGGAAAGTAAGGAAGAAACCTAGGCGGTGATACCATGAGAGAAGATATGGCACGCAGAGAAAGTAGTAGATTGATTCAATGTGTACAAGGGGTACAACATATATAGGCAAGGATCGGTGTAGGGTTTATAGAACACACCCAATCAACGAAGATCCTTGCTTAATCTGGGAGATCAACTACTATAAACCCGAGGGCAAATTTCAAGACCAAAGCGTGGGCGCCAGGCCCATGGCGACCCTATAGGCGCTAGTCTAACACATAGCCTTTATATGAACTATCTTGTTGATTTGTTTTGGTTAAACCTTCAATTGTTTTTGGCATCAATGATTGACCTTCCATAATCTCTAGGTTGTTCAAAGTAATTATGTTTCAGCACATGTTTAGACTTTGGACTTCACATTATAGTTTTGATGAAAACCTTTGTTTCGAACTTTCCAGAACCGAAGAAAGAAGGTGCTAGGAGGAGCATTCTTCGTTGCAACTTCTTTCTTTTTTGTAACTTTTCCCTATTGTTGGTGTCGAAGACTCGAGATCATAAGCTTTTATCCCAGTGCCATATTGGGGATATTATTAGTATTCGATAAATCCCATTACATGCGAGCTGAAATGATATTGAACTTCGTACTGAAATAGCTATCAGTTGTTGTTCATCTATGTATCTATCCAGAATTTTGTTTGATTAATCTATTGTCCAATAGCATGAATTACTATTCTGTTGGGGCCTTTGTGGATTATGATAAATTTGTTGGCCCGATTTTTCGATTCTCTAGCAGCAGTATGCAGTATGTATTTCTATTAAGCAGGCATGTGAAGCAGTAGTGGCAAGCAAGCCAGCTACGCGTGCTTTAATGGGTCATGCTGGTTTGTAGCCACCAAGTTCACAGAACACAAGCGAAAGCGGAATTGGCGGACATCCACAAACCCGCTAGATTAATTAGTGGCAAGTTGTGGCCTTGTGTGGCTTTCCTCAACTTGCCCTGCCTACAAGTCTTTACAGTATATACAGTCAATGGAAAGTACTCTCGGACAAAGCTTGCAAACTCCTTTTCTAACTAGCAGTGTTTCTCAACTACAGTTTGCCAAAGAAACTCATTTATTATTTCAAGAAAGGGTCCACAACAGTCATATGACGCATGCCAATTGTCAAGAAACGATCTAGCAGGTAGCAGCCAAGAAGTAAACATATATATGCCTGTTCATTCACACAGAAAATGAAGCTTCTTTCTGGCACAATTGGGCTACCCTTTTTTTTAGTGTCAAAGCTACGAATTTGTGATCTAATTGAACAATGCCAGTTGGACAACACAAGCAAGTTCACAAAGCATAGTAATAGTAATAATTGATCTGTTTGATAGTCTCTATGCACCGTGCACATAATTGAACAGCGCGCATCAAGGTTTCTGCACTCTAGTACGTAATAGACCTATCTGGGCACGATCATTCCTTATCTCGAACAGAGGTGACAGCAATTCAAGAGCCAAAAGAAGCAGTAGTAACAAAAAGGAAGAAGAATTGCGTCACCTATTCCCCTCCCTCGGTAGGGCTTGAGGACGACGAGCATGGCGATGTAGCCCTGAATGCACCCCTGTGCTCCCCATCTTGCACACGACCGTCCCCACGCACTTGCCATCCCTGGCATCGAACGCCTGCATCGCCCCCATCCCGTTGCCACCCAAGACGAAGAACCAGGAGAGCGTCAAATCCGGCACGACCACGGCGCGATTCGAGAGGCGCGAGAGGGAGAGGTGGGGGCAGAGAGAGAGAGAAGGGGGCGCCGCGTACCAGGAAGGTGAGCTGTGGCCAGAGGTAGACGAAGTAGCGGTAGGTGAAGATGGAGTAGGGCTCGCTGAGCTCCTCGTCGACCAGCGACATCACCAGCGGCAGGTGCTGCTCTCCGCCGTAGCTCACGTACGCGATCTCCCCGCGCTCCTCCGCACCCCCGCTTCCTTCGGTACCGCCGCCGGCGGCGGCGGCGGCGGAGGAGGTGGCCGACGACATCGCCGCTGTCCCTGAGTGACGGATATTGGGTGAATAATAACTGAATACGTAAATGACGCATCGAAGGCGGTAAAGTATATACATATCGGCCTGTTGGGCCTGGGCCTGGGCCCGCCGCAGAAACTATCGCGGGAGGCCCGCCAGCGCCAGGTTCGGACTCGTGATGAAAAGAAAAAACAGAACCGGACTCGGTTCACGGCCTGCCTTTTCTTCCGTTCGCCCCGTGTTCGCGCGGCTCTCTCGCTCTCATCCAGCAACTCGGCGACCAACGCCGCCGCCGCCGCCGCCGTACGCTTGGTGTTTAGCTTAGGTCTAGCCTCGTTCGTCCTATGCCAGGTCTTCGTCGGATCCTTCACCGGCGACGATACCTCCTTCTCTTCCCTTTCAGCTGTGTTGAAAGCGGCGCACCCAAACCCTAAATCGATTTGGGTATTTGTTTTTGATCCCATCTAATCTTTATATGATTTAGTTCAATTCCCTTTTAAATTGTCGTTCTTAATTCCTAAAGAAGAAAGTAGTAGATTGATTCAATGTGTATAATTATATTACAAGGGGGTACAAATATATAGGCAAAGATCCTTGCTTAACTGGGAGATCAACTACTATAAACTGAGTATGTGACCAAAGACAACGGGCGTGGGCGCCAAGGCCCATGGCTTGACCCCATAGGCGCTAGTCTAACACATAGGCCTTTATATGAACTATCTTATTGATTTGTTTTGGTTAAACCTTCAATTGTTTTGGCATCAATGATTGACCTTCCATAATCTCTAGGTTGTTCAAAGTAATTATGTTTCAGCACATGTTTAGACTTTGGACTTCACATTATAGTTTTGATGAAAACCTTTGTTTACGAACTTTCCAGAACCGAAGAAAGAAGGTGCTAGGAGGAGCATTCTTCGTTGCAACTTCTTTCTTTTTTTTTGTAACTTTTCCCTATTGTTGGTGTCGAAGACTCGAGATCATAAGCTTTTATCCCAGTGCCATATTGGGGATATTATTAGTATTCGCATAAATCCCATTACATGCGAGCTGAAATGATATTGAACTCGTACTGAAATAGCTATCAGTTGTTGTTCATCTATGTATCTATCCAGAATTTTGTTTGATTAATCTATTGTCCAATAGCATGAATTACTATTCTGTTGGGGCCTTTGTGGATTATGATAAATTTGTTGGCCCGATTTTTTTCGATTCTCTAGCAGCAGTATGCAGTATGTATTTCTATTAAGCAGGCATGTGAAGCAGTAGTGGCAAGCAAGCCAGCTACGCGTGCTTTGTGGGTCATGCTGGTTTGTAGCCACCAAGTTCACAGAACACAAGCGAGCGGAATTGGCGGACATCCACAAACCCGCTAGATTAATTAGTGGCAAGTTGTGGCCTTGTGGCTTTCCTCAACTTGCCCTGCCTACAAGTCTTTACAGTATATACAGTCAATGGAAAGTACTCGGACAAAGCTTGCAAACTCCTTTTCTAACTAGCAGTGTTTCTCAACTACAGTTTGCCAAAGAAACTCATTTATTATTTCAAGAAAGGGTCCACAACAGTCATATGACGCATGCCAATTGTCAAGAAACGATCTAGCAGGTAGCAGCCAAGAAGTAAACATATATATGCCTGTTCATTCACACAGAAAATGAAGCTTCTTTCTGGCACAATTGGGCTACCCTTTTTTTTAGTGTCAAAGCTACGAATTTGTGATCTAATTGAACAATGCCAGTTGGACAACACAAGCAAGTTCACAAAGCATAGTAATAGTAATAATTGATCTGTTTGATAGTCTCTATGCACCGTGCACATAATTGAACAGCGCGCATCAAGGTTTCTGCACTCTAGTACGTAATAGACCTATCTGGGCACGATCATTCCTTATCTCGAACAGAGGTGACAGCAATTCAAGAGCCAAAAGAAGCAGTAGTAACAAAAAGGAAGAAGAATTGCGTCACCTATTCCCCTCCCTCGGTAGGGCTTGAGGACGACGAGCATGGCGATGTAGCCCCTGAATGCACCCCTGTGCTCCCCCATCTTGCACACGACCGTCCCCACGCACTTGCCATCCCTGGCATCGAACGCCTGCATCGCCCCCCATCCCCGTTGCCACCCAAGACGAAGAACCAGGAGAGCGTCAAATCCGGCACGACCACGGCGCGATTCGAGAGGGCGCGGAGGGGAGAGGTGGGGGCAGAGAGAGAGAGAGAAGGGGGGCGCCGCGTACCAGGAAGGTGAGCTGTGGCCAGAGGTAGACGAAGTAGCGGTAGGTGAAGATGGAGTAGGGCTCGCTGAGCTCCTCGTCGACCAGCGACATCACCAGCGGCAGGTGCTGCTCTCCGCCGTAGCTCACGTACGCGATCTCCCCGCGCTCCTCCGCACCCCCGCTTCCTTCGGTACCGCCGCCGGCGGCGGCGGCGGCGGAGGAGGTGGCCGACGACATCGCCGCTGTCCCGAGTGACGGATATTGGGTGAATAATAACTGAATACGTAAATGACGCATCGAAGGCGGTAAAGTATATACATATCGGCCTGTTGGGCCTGGGCCTGGGCCCGCCGCAGAAACTATCGCGGGAGGCCCGCCAGCGCCAGGTTCGGACTCGTGATGAAAAAGAAAAAACAGAACCGGACTCGGTTCACGGCCTGCCTTTTTCTTCCGTTCGCCCCGTGTTCGCGCGGCTCTCTCTCGCTCTCATCCAGCAACTCGGCGACCAACGCCGCCGCCGCCGCCGCCGTACGCTTGGTGTTTAGCTTAGGTCTAGCCTCGTTCGTCCTATGCCAGGTCTTCGTCGGATCCTTCACCGGCGACGATACCTCCCTTCTCTTCCCTTTCAGCTGTGCGAAACCGAGCACCCAAACCCTAAATCGATTTGGGTATTTGTTTTTGATCCCATCTAATCTTTATATGATTTAGTTCCGTCCCTTTTAAATTGTCGTTCTTAATTCCTAAAAAGTTAAACTTATTCAACTTTAATCAAATATATAAAGAAAAATATTAATATTTATAGTATATAATTAGTATAATTATATTATATAGATCTATTTTTATAATAAATTTATTTAGAGATACAAATATTGCTAATTCTTTTATAAATCTAATTAAATTTAAAAAAATATACTAGCGTGAATACCATAATGACACTCAACAGAGGGAGTATGTATTATTCCTACTAAATTTGATTTTTTTTTTCCAGAAGTTATTGGTTGTATATCTGTCTATACCCATGTCAATTACTAGGTCCACCCCTGGGTTTCAAGGTGATGGATCGACTTGCTCGGCCACTCAAATACAGGCCTCAACTTGTTAACAAGTTGAATTTATCAGCTTGGTTTATCAGTCATAGTATAGTATTTTTCTCTCACAATAAATTAGCGAACAGTACTTTTCAGCCTGACTTTTCAGCGAAGTGAACAAGGCCTATGTGTGCCGGTGAATTTTGGATTATCAGAGTCTCTTGGTCCATCTGGTCCAAAGTTGCAGAGCAAATTAGGTCTGGGGTACATGTGTTTAGAATTGCGATCATGTCGTGTATAGAATTGTGATCATGTCGCCTCCTCTGACGATGGTTATTGGTTATGGACTTAATAGGACTCTTTTGTATTACCAGCAGAAAATGCTGCCCACAAGATCTGCACAGAGAATATGAATTTAATTGCTAATTAGATTTTAAGTTGTCTGTCCGGCTTTTTTTTAAAGCATTGTCGCTACAACCATTTTATGTTCATAAGTTGGCCCCAAATCTCTCCATTTTCTCCTATGTAGGGGACCGAATAAGCATCTCACTTGGAGATGCACTTCAAGTGAGGAAAGTTACTTCCACATTTACGATTCACCTGGTGTCCTTTATTATGCTAGAACCAAACTTACATTCATCGCACCAAATGTTCAAACTCTTGCTCTATTAACAAGAGATGAGGTCAGTTTGATTCTTACTCGTATTCAAGATAAAAAAAAAAGTTTGATCCTTCCTAGATTTATTGTTCTACAAGTGAAAAGTGTCATATAATTGTTGTATGTTTACATTCCAAGTACTCATACTTGGTACACAACGAATATTTGTCTGCTTGATAAATATTTGGGGCATCTCTTTTTTCAGACAGTCAATACACCAATGACATATGGTAGATTTCTCCAGCTCAAGTACTTGGAGATAGTGGCGTGCGCACCAATATTTACCCCAGACTATGATTTTTGCTCGCTGGTTTCTTTTCTTGATGCTTCCCCAGCACTGGAGACCTTCATCCTACGTGTAAGTATTACTGCGTGTAAGCGGTCCTTAAGGAAGACTAATTTTTATCTATTATCCTTTAAGAATCTCATCAATTTTATGAACAAGACTATGAGGTCCAGCCTAATTGAAAACCTTTTGGCTTATCATGGATGATACACTGATTTATTTCTATGCAGATTGATCTGCCAACCTTAAGACATGCGCTCTGTTCGTTTGGGCTTGTTTGGCTGATAAGCCATGACTGAAAGTATTGTTGGCTGATTTGGTGTGAGAGGAAAGTATTATTCGTTGGCTGAAAAAGTACGACTTATAAGCCAAACAAACTCAAACGAACAGGGCACCGATTCTATTGTCGAAGATCCAGGCGGTGATTCCTCACGTCCACAGTGCCTTTCAGAATGTTGCCATGACCACCTGAAGAATGTTATGATAACCGGCTTTTGCTCTGCAAAGAGCATGATCGATCTCACGATCCATATTATCGAAAAAACAAAGTCATTGGCGTGTCTTACATTAGACACTACACGTGGGCATGACCGTAGGTTTAACAAGATTGACAAATGCTGGAAGCTGAGTCAGGATGCACTTGTGGAGGCTGAAAAGGCAAGTGTTGCCATTCAGAGATATGTCGAGGGGAGAGTGCCTTCGTCTGTGAACCTAAAGGTTATTGTGCCGTGCAGCAAGTGCATATGCTGACAAACATTAGATGTTTCCATGCTGTGTTAGTGTGTTACTAGTCCATCAACCCGTGCTCTCGCACGGGTTAAAATTTTTGAGACATATATTGTTTATTACATTTAAGTAATAAAGAATTTTTATATTAAATTGAATGTTATTATCTTTGTTTATTTTTACAAAATAGATATTTCGTATAGTCTATATCCAAATAGTTTTTTTTTGCAAGGGACTTATTTATATGATTTTCAACCATATTCGCTTATTTTTACGTTGCATGGCATCTTTTTATATTTTAAATATATAATTAGCTTGAAATCTTGCCATTAACTATGGCGGTCCTTGTTGTTGCCACATATCTTATGAAGTCATGAATCTCAAATTAATTTTTTAAATTTTATTCTTGTTGACTGCTATAGATTTTCTTTGTCGTCAAGTTGACACTCTTGTGATTATTGTATTTTTTTTATTAACAACACCTTTTGCACTTTTTAACAATAAGGATTTTTGGTCTTAGAGTATGTTCTTAGATACTAAAATAGAAAAAGTAATCATTCGAAACCGGCGCCATATCATTTAAGATAAGTGATAGAGCTTGAAGTGAGATCTCAGATGGGGTAATAGTGCTAACCTCAAGAGAATTTGAACACTTAAGCTATATAATTATCGATTTTTTGCTCTAAAGTAATCTTGAAGGGTTGGGAAAATATAGAAGTGGTCTCTCATACTTCTCACGATGATTGAATTTTCTACTATCAATATAGACATGTCAAATATTTAGTTAGAATACATCAATATATCTAAAGCAACAACCTATATAAATTATATGTCATGATTACTAATATGGTTTTAAACAATTTGTTAGTATCATTAGATATGAGTTGTTAAGAAAATATTTTTTGTGATAAAACATGACATATTTATTTATCACTCATGCATGCTTGCATAACATGCTTGTTTACTTTGATCAAATCTTAATATATTAATATTAATAGAAATAGGTAATGTATAAATATATACATGCTCTATATTATTTAACATTTTTAATAAAAGGTGTTGGTAATTTTAAATGTAGATTTTAGATGATATTTTTTTCAAATAATAAGATAAACATTGGGTTACATAAATTATCTATCATAATAAGAGTACATAGGTAATTAGGTGCAAATTTAGATATGCTTTAAATCATGTTTCCTAATGGCATATGTGGGTAGTTTGAATATATAGTCATGTGTTGCCTTATGTTGTTTTACGCAATAGCAGAGGTGGGTAACTTTTATAGAATAGATCCAATAGCTATTATTATCAATGATAATTAGGTTATACCGAATTGATAGTCAAATGTTACAGATTTTTGTGAGAATTTCTAAGATCTATCTTTTATTCCTATCATGACTCGTGAGAATTAACATGTCTCATAAGGATTAACATGGATGCTCCATTAAAGACCTCTAGCTAGAATTTATAGTATTTATCTTTTTTTCTAGCACGATATGTATTTAGTTGAAACATAATATTAACATATATAAACTCTAGCTGCATCCTTTTCTATGACTTCATAAATTATAGTTTAGCTTTCGACTTTCAATCGAGTTGTGCAATATTTTTCACATGTTAGGTAGAAACTCTAGTGTTTTTCATCTTTTATACAAAAATTATTTTTTATTAAAAAGAGTTTTAAGTCCTAGTAGTATTTTTTCCACATATTAATTAAAACTCAGATTGTAACCTAGCACCGAACTTGTTGAATTTGTTATATCACAGACTTATATGTGTCTAGTGTTGTCTTATGTATCTTAGAGCGCTTAAAATTAAATTACCAATACTGATATTATATAATGTTTCAATTAAAATATATGAACTTATTTAAAATAACAATTTATAAAATTGATTATTATGTAGTATTAATATAACATAAAGTGAATTGTGTTACGATGTTTCTAGGTGGTTTGTCAATTAAACATTTTTCCATGCTTCATAAGCTATTAAAATAAATATATATCCTAAGGTATATATGTTTACTTAGTACAAATTGTGAAGTATAACGTTATTGTTATTTAACTTCATGGTTGTATACTATTTATACGTGGATTTGAGATTTTTTTTTGTTTTTTATAATGGCTAAGTTAGATACAAATATAAAGATAATACTTTATATTCTTCCATAACAACATATGGGTAGGTTGAATGTAAATTTAGGAGGTTATTTTTCATGATCTTTCATAATTACAAAGGTGGATAGTTCACAAAATCATTATTATGTATTTTAAATTATCTTTCATAACGACATATGTGAGTAAATTAGTGGGTTATTTTTTTTAAATTATGTCTCATAATAACAAATGTGTGTAATCTAGATACAAAGTTAGAGGGTTATTTTAAATTATCTTTCCTAACAGCAATGGTCGGTAATTTAGATGCAATGTGATGGGGTTATTTTGAATTGTGTGTTCATTAACAGATGTGGGTAATTTATATATAAATTTAGGGGGTTATTCTAAATTATCATTCGTAATGGCAGAGGTGGGTAATTTAT